CATGTGTGCGTTGCATTTTTGCCCGCTTCCATACTGCTCGTCCCCTTTTCTTTTGCCCTGTCCCCTCCTGGTCCCCTGCACCCATTTCGCGCCTCTTACACGGAACATGTACCGACATACCTTGCACCAGCAGGAGCAGTGAATGGCATTAGAAATCGGCATGGCGCACGCACACAAGCCAGGATGGGTTGAAATCAGCGCGGCACAGTGGGCATTCAGGCTTTTGGTTGCACCAGTCAGTGATGCATTGCCAGCAGAAGATGTGGCCGCATGGCGTGGCGGTGGGATGTGCTCGTGCCGACAGGCAAAGCGGGCACTTCCGCCTGCTGGGCACCTCTGTGCTGGCATCGCCCGTTGCACTTCCTGTTGGCCGCCCTGATCCCCCTGCTAGGGCTGCAATGGTGTTGGGGAGCGGCTTGCCATCCTCGGCTTGCAGCCCAGCATGGGCCTGCCGCCGTGCGGTTGCGTCCTCCGCTCTTGGGCTAGCCCACAGCTGCAGCGGGCCGCCATGCCGCCTCAGCAGCCAGAGCAGGCCAGAGATGCCCAGCTGAGCAACCAGCAGCACGCCAAGGAATCGGTAGCTAGGTCGCCCCTCAAAGGCCCGCCCAAGAAACAGATAGCGCACCCCTGCAGCGGCACAGCATGCGGGGGCCGTGGCCAACGGCCTTCCAGAGTGGCACTGAACCAGGCCCAGGCGGGTTCCGCTGATTGAGGCCGGCCCCCTTCTGTCGAGCGCCCCACAAAACCACCACCAACCTGCCACACGCTTGACTGGTTGGTAGTACAGTCCATACATGTAGAACAGGGCGAGATGAATGCGCATCACTGTTGTCCCGTGTACCTTCAAGAAAGCCGTTGCAGCTGGAAGGTGGGTGGTCACAGGCTGCGATGCCCGCTGCACTGCACCCGCTACCTGCCGTCCTGCAGATGCCAGCCGTTGCAGTAGTGCTGCTCCTGTCGTGACCGTCTGCTGCTCATGGTGCTGCAATGCCACCGCTGTTGCATTCGGATGTGCATCAGCCTGTGCCTGCTGCCAGGCTGCAAAGCCATCATCCTCTGGCGCTGCAAGGCGGTCTGCCAAGTAGGGTCCTAGCGAATGCAGCACTACCAGCAGGCCACGCCGCATGGCGCCCGGCGGTGCCCCTGCTGTGCCAGCCACCTGCAGGACGTCGCAATACTCTTCTCCTGGCGTCTGCAGCCCTGTGCCAGTGGTCAATGAGTAGTAGAGCAGCTCAGCCAGCGCGCGCGTTTCGCCTGCCCAGCGCAGCGCGCGGTGAGGGCCCAGCACACGCCGCACCACGTCGTGGCAGCCGTCTGTGAGGTGTTGCAAGTACAGCTCATCCTGCATCAGGGACGAGAGGGATGCGACGGCGGGCAGAGGGTCGCCAGCGGTCACCGGCGGGGAGTCGGGCGGCTGCACCGGTGCAGGTCTCTGCTTCAGTAGTGCCCTTGGAACGGGGCTGCAGACCTTCCGACACACCTTCTGTTGCGCCCTGATCAGGTTGGGCTGCGCAGCGGCGGGGAACAGCTCGCTGGGCTCCTCTGCCGAGGAGGCAGCGGCTGCCAGGCCCTCGTGAGCCTGCATATCGACCTACAGATGAATATGCTCAAGAAGCTGCAAGCTGCAGGGGCACTCTTTTCTTGCAAAAGCTATGAGAAGCCACCGCAGCTTTCCGTGGAATGCCTGTACAGAAGGCAATTCTGAGCCTTTATGTGCACATAAGCAGCGTGTCGTTTCTCAAAGTACTGATTGCACTCCACGAGCACTGCAGTGACATGCAGCTCAGAGCATTGCTGCTCTTCCAGGCGCCGGGAATGGGGCGCCAGCGCAGCCTAGTTGCTCGGGGCCTGCGCGTCCTGGCGCAGCAGGACCAGGAGGCGGAGGCACAGCTGGCAGCGGCGCCAGACCGCCGCCTGTCGGTGCTCGCTGCCAGCCCCACCGCCACGCAGCTCCTGGCTCACTTCTGTGCATGCGAGCTCCGCCCCGCAGACTGTTACCTGTTGTATGGCAGCGTGGGGGCGGGCAAGAGCTACTTTAGGTGCGCAGCAAGGCAGCTGGTGCACTGCCCTCGCCTGGTGTTGCCCGTCCCCCCTGTTGCCGCTTCATCGCCTGTGCTGGCTGGCATCTGCAGCCGTGCGTTCATTCGTGCTGCCGCCAAGGACGAGGAGCTACCGGTGCCTTCACCCACGTTCCTGCTACAAAACATCTATACAGACCACCAGGGTGAGAATGGCAGCACAGCTGTGACCAACCAGCGTCCCACCCTTGGTTATTTTTGGTCATGAGCCTTTACGCCTGCAATATCTTGCCGTACACATGCAGGCCCACCCATCCACCACTTTGACTTGTATCGCCTGACAAAACAGTACGAATTTGCACGACTGGACCTGCGGACGTCTTTCAATGAAGCAGTCAGTCTTGTGGAATGGCCAGAGCGGCTGGACGCCCACCACCAGCCCGCGGAGCGCCTGGAAGTGCACATTTCCATTTTGGAGGCAGCAGAGCAGGAGCGGCTGCAGCGGCAGCGAGCGCCGACAGAGAACGGCTGGAGAGGAGACGAGGAGGCTGAGCAGGATGGCAGTACAGATGAATGCAGCGGTGACATGCGCTGGCGGCGTATCAGCTTGAAGCCTTTTGGGCAGCGATGGCTGCTGCGGCTACAGCTGCTGCAGCGATACCTGCAGGCAGAGGGTGCACAGCTGGACTGTCACATGGAGAGGGGTTTGTTGGAGCAGGAATCTTGACAGAGGATGTGAATGAAGCCAGAGCACAGCAGTGTAGAAGGGTACAGGGTGCACCTGGGTGTATGGTGCGTGGTGCACTGCAAATGCGGCGAGGCACAGGGCGGCGCTATACAGGAAACATGCACTGAGAATGAAACACGGAGCACACAGCATTTGCAGTCTGAATGGCATCAAGCTTAGGATGAACATGGGCTGAAGAGTTAATAAGGTGAGCCTCAAAATTCAGGCCCGCTTCAAAATCCAATCAGCGATTTCGGAGTTTATCTTCTCATTGCCCTGCTCTCGCACCAGGATGTGCCACATATGGTTGACCAGTCGCAGCGTCTTGTCCTCTGACTGCATCCAGAACGAGGCAGGGTGGACCTGGAGATCTCCAAACCACCGGCTGACCCACCTGGAAGCCGGTCCATGCGCAATGAA